TGATTGAAATTTCAAACTTGAACTTCAATCTACTGAAACAAGTTAGATGAAATTAGTGGAGCAGATCTCCTTTTCTCTCAAGAATAAACCGTTCAAACCATGGGCAAAATACTGATATACAATTAGGAGCCTTTTATGAATATTTACATGTATGCATATATCGCATTGATTTGGACTCGGGAAATAATTTTCTCAAAGTAATCTCATATAATAATAATTTAAAGTAGTTAATTACATAAAAAAACCCTACAAAATTCTCAAGTCTGCACTACAGGTGAAATAACATACCTTTAAAAACTAGCCACATTAGTCCTTTTTCATCTGGAAACAATACATTTAAAAAAATTAGCTTTTTTTATGTCTTTTTTTTTTCCCTTTAATAAAAAAGTCCCATTCTAAAAGCCTGCAAGTCTGTGGGAGAAAGACAATTCCATGAGAAAACACTAAGCATAAGCATAATCTCTTCCTCCCCCCAAAAAAATTCCTGTCTACAGCCTTGTAATTCTGCAGTCAATGACTTAAAAAAAACACACAAGTGAACAAACAGGAGAAACAGATACTTATTAGAATTATGACTTTTATTTTTATTCACTAGAGCAACACTGAGGAAAGAATTTTTACATACAGATTTCTTTAATCAACTTTACAAGCAAATATCCAATATACAGTATTTACTCTGGCCTAGGTTAAAAAACAAAACAAATGAAGCAGATAGTAAGGGTACCTCTTGTTTTAGCTAGTATTGAATTTAAGAGTTCACTGACACTGGAATTATATTGTTTTTTATTGTGGTGCTTTTACAGTTAAGTAGGCAGTGAGCAGCTTTACCACAACAGTGACTAGATTTCCTTGACAGCATAGTTGTAAGATGACTATGAGATCTACCACCAGGATCATGTATTAAATCCACTCTGCTCAGAAAAAGCACTGCAACAAGATAAAGAATAGCTACAGAAGCCCAATTCAAGAACGGATTCCATTTGTATGGCAAGAAAATGTCTATATTAGGAGTATCATGTGCTGTGCAAAACCAGAAGTACTTCCCCCCAACATGCAACCTACCCAAGTATGACACTTTAGAATGTGCATATGGATATGACATGCAAAGCAAATCACACACATGGTATTCAGTTTTCTAGCATCATTACAACAAATCAGCATTTACTGCAAGGATGAAATGAATTTTATTGGCCTATGATGCAGTCTAGTTGCTATGTCTAGTCTCACTGCTATGAGATGAAAGTCGAGGAACCCATTTTTTTTTTGCAACTACGTGAAAAAAAAAAAAAAATCAGTGCTATTTGGGATTTTCAGGGCATTTGTGATTTTTTTGAGAAGGTCCAGGAGGTAATATTGCACTTCTTTTCTTGAACAAAAACATATGCTGGGAATATTATTCTCTAAGGGTTATGCTAGGAAGTGCTAGCTTTAGGGAAGGGGAAGGTAATAATCCAGTTGCATCATCAGTATGAAAATTCCACAGTAAAATTAAGTCATTGCACAACAAAAAACTCAGTACACTATATGAATATTTTTAAACATGCTACAGTGCATATCGATTCTGTGAAAATGATGTGAAGATACCTTGGAAATAGCAACACTACACAGCAGGAGGCATCTAGATTATTTTAGGCACAACTCCAAGCAATTAAGCTCATTTAAAGTGCAATTCTGGGGTTTTTTTGATTCATGTGTTTATTCATTTGTTAAAATGCGTAGTTGCCTCTGTACACACATACTGAACAGTAGTTTAATACTTTTGTGAATATTGCACAAAAGAATGAGAAATCAAACAAAAAAATGCAATAAACCAGTTTTTGAAACCTGAAAAAAAACCAACCAAAAAACCCAACTCCTAAGGGTATCAATTTAATTTACGTGTTTAAAATAATCTGCACCAGTACTGATGATGTATCTGCACCTTCCATTAAGGTAGATACATTACCTGAAAATACTTACTTAATCCCATTTGACAAGCTCTACACAGAGTCCTCTTACTTGTCTCCTCCCAACCCCTGTCCTTCACTGAAGTGAAACTTCAAACTTCAATTTTTCTGTCTCAGCTGCCCATCTACTGACAGGCTTTGCTCATACTCTGGACTTACTATACATGCAACAGAGCCTTCCCTGGTAAAGTCTGAAGAGCCAAAATATGTAGCTGTCTTTAGAGGGATGCGAACTCAGCAGCTGAATACAAATACAATTCAGGCTAGCATCTGTCTCATCTGTGACCAAATCCTGCTGTCTCCAGCTCAATGTCTCACTAATCTGTCAGAACAAAATGCGGAAATGCTATAAAAAAAGAATATAATATATTTATTCTTCTTTAACACAGAAAAAAAACCCCCAACAATAAATATATTTTTGCTTTTTCTGGAAAAAAAATAATTACGAACTATCTTCTTTATGAAAACCCTGATCATCTCTTTGCTTTGTTCCTTAATTTTCAGTAAAGGTGCAGACAGATAGATATCTATACTTTTAAATGTAAACATAAAAATTTTAACATCACTAATTCAGGCTGCTGATACTCCTAGAACAAGAAGCAAAGGTATTCATGGTGAAATATCTGTCAATAGCACTAAGTGAAAATAATCTTTTTACACAAAATCATACACAACTAAAAATAAAATCAGCTTCTCTTCAAGGAAAGTAAATGTAAAAAAACCCACCTTCCACAGAAATCTTTGTGGACCAGAGAACGAATCAGGAGTCTGATCATTCCCTCAAGCAGTTTTAAACTTCCAAAAAACACAGTTAGCTGCCGAGACCAGCTAAAAGTCAGTTTTCTTACTGAAAGAAAATACTTACAGCAAAAGACATCTAATTCAATGCTGTTCAAGGAAAATTTTTTTCCTGGAGAATAATTGCTACAGCAATCTTGAATTGTAGTTATTTTGATCCTATACCAACTGTAACAATGTTACCCTTGTTACTTCTTGCTCGCATTGTCTTCGCCCCAGTTAACAGAAAGTCCTGCGCATCTCTTATTTCAGATTGATACAATCAGTTTTGAAATAGAACCTCCTCCATGACTATTTTCCCCCCAAGCTTTTAATTTTTCCACTTAATTGTCAGATAAAACAATTTACAGTGTGACCAATCTAAAAACTTTCTTGGATATTCACTATGTACTGAGAAATTCAGATGAGAATTAAATTTTTTTCCTTCTCCTATCCAACTAAAGTATCCATCAGGATACCCCTATTAAAAGGGCTTATATTACAGAAGTTGATTATTTATTTTATTTCTGAAATGTCTATACCTATTCACTTTAAGTCTTTCAAAGAAAATACTGCAATCTCTCAACATCCTATAGCCAAAGCCTAGAAAAAATATGTTTCATTTTACTGACATTTTATGCTGTTCAAGAACTGATTTTCAGCAAAGTTGTTGTAAGAGCCTACTACCACTGATTTTAAAACCAATCCAAGAACAGGAAAAAAAAAAGGGGGGGGGGGCAACTAAAAAAAAAACCCCAACCAAACAAATCAGCAAAATCCCAGAGGGAAAAAGGGGGAATC